ATCTATCTATCTATCTATCTATCTATCTATCTATCTATCTATCTATCTATCTATCCCCATCCACCCCCTATCTATCTATCTATCTATCTATCTATCTATCTTAGTTATTTCAGAGCGCCTGTCTCCAAGGTCCATACCCAACACACCAAATCAGACTGTGAGGAGTTACAAAGGGATCTCACAAAACTGGGTGACTGCGTAACAAAATGGCAGATGAAATTCAATGTTGATAAATACAAAGTAATGCACCTTGGAAACAAAATCCCAACTTTACATATAAAATGATGGGGTCTAAATGAGCTGTTACCACTCAAGAAAGATCTTGGCGTCAGTGTGGAGAGTTCTCTGAAAACATCCACTCAATGTGCAGCGCAGTCAAAAAAGCGAACAGAATGTTGAGAATCATTATGAAAGGGAGAGATAATAATAATATATGGAGATATACCTATCTCATAGAACTGGAAGGGACCCTGAAAGGTCATCAAAGTCAGAAAATATCATATTGTCTCTATATAAATCCATGGTATGCCCACATCTTGAATACTGCATGCAGATGTGGTCGCCCCGTCTCAAAAAAGATATATTGGAATTGGAAAGGTTCAGAAAACAAAAATGATTAGAGGTATAGAACGGCTTCCGTATGAGGAAAGATTAAAATGACTGGGACTATACAGTCTGGAAAAGAGATGACTAAGCGGAGATATGATAGAGGTCTATAAAATCATGACTGGTGTGGAGCAAGTGAGTAGGGAAGTGTTATTTACTCCTTCTCATAACACAAGAACTAGGGGTCACCCAATGAAATGAATAGGCAGCAGGTTTAAACCAAACAAAAGGAAGTATTTCTTCACACAACAACCTGTGGAACTCATTGCCAGGGGATCTTGTGAAGGACAAAAGTATAACTGGGCTCATAAAAGAACTAGATGAGTTCATGGCAGACAGGTCTATCAATGGCTATTAGCCAAAATGGTCAGAGACACAACCCCATGCTTTGGATGTCTGTAAACTTCGGGACTGCCAGAAGCTGGGAATGGACGACAGGGGATGGATCACTCAAAATTGTCTTGTTCTGTTTATTCCCTCTGAGGCCAGCACCATCCACTGTCGGCAGACGGGATACAGGGCTAGATGGACCATTGGTCTGACCCAGTGTGGCTGTTCTTATGATCTTATGTCTTTGTCCCACTCGAGCGGCTGGTCCACAAAAGAGGATAAGAGCCCACTACAGCAGCCAGCTAAGGAACTTCTCCTTTTGCTCCAGCCCTAGAGGCTCATATCTTCTCATGCTGAGAGAGAGTCCCAGATTTGAACCCCTCTGTCAACCCAAGAGGGGTAGATTATATGGAGGCCCCATCACTAGGTCAGCCTCCTCCTTTGTTGGTGAGGCTGAGACAGTGGCCGTCCCAGCTGAGGTGTGGTCTCCTCTCCCCACACCTATCAGCAGGATGGGGTTGTATTCCCACCGCCCCAGCTTGGGATGGCTGGTGAGGGACCTGTCCAGGACATCCCTCAGTGCTGCCTGGGGCTGGCACGGCTGTGATGAACCCAACCCCTGTGCCTGAGGGGAGCTTTGCCCCCCTGCACCCTCTCCAGCCATGCCCAGGAGCTCCAGCCAGCCCCCCTGCCCTCCTCCATTCCCTCCCTCCTACAGAATTCCCTGCTGCGGCTACTGACAGCCAAGGAACGGGAGCGGGCGCGAGCCGCCTTCCTGCCCCTCCACCAGGACAGCCAGGGGCTGATCAGCCAGAGCGAGTGCCGGAAAGCCCAGCACACGTGGTTTCGGAAGCACCAGAAGGAGGCCCCGTCCTGCAACGTCAGGTAAGAGGGCCGGGCTGCCCAGGGGGAGAACCCCTTCCCCAGCCAGAGCCGGGGGAGCCCCAGGAGGCCCAAACTCCTGGTTAGTTAGCGGAGCAATTCCACCCAGAACCCCTGCTCAGTGTCTTCCCAGCGCAGGCCAAAGCGTCCACCAGATCCCCCGGCACCGCCCCCCAGCAACAGCTCCCACTTCCCTCTGCGTCCCCCCATCTCCCTCCCACCTGCCTGAGAGAGGCATGGGGAGCCCCCCCCATCTCCCCTCACACCCTGATGCCACATGCCCAGCGTGTGAGGCACAGCTGGAGCCCGGCCGGCGTTTGTCACACGGTACCCCAGGGCACTGGTGGAGTCCCAGCCCGGCTCCTGCGGCCCAGGGGCAAAGGAGGGAAACGCCCTTTCTCCTCCGCAGCATCAGCCACGTGGGGCCCATGTCAGAGAGCAGCCCAGCCAGCAGCGGCAGCAACAGGAGCCCGCAGAAGACCCTGCTGGGCACCGAGCAGGAGGAATCCAGGTGAGCGGGGCGGGGCGCGGGGGGACGACGGGTTCTGCTGCAGGCCCACGGCTGCAGCGTCCGTTCAGCTCCGCTGGGCACAGGCTAGCTGGGCTCCCGCACAAGCCAGGCCCCTCCCAGCTGCTGTGGGGTGTGGTGTTAAAGGGGGCATCATAGCAGTGTGGGGCTGGCAGGGTCCTGCAGAGCTCACCTAGGCCAGCCCCCTGCGCTGAGGCAGGGCCAGTGGATTTGGGCTCTCCGTCCTGCCTGGCCTTAAAAGCCTCCAGTGCCGGGGAGCCCCCCACCTCCCTTGGGAGCCGGCTCCAGAGCTGAACAACCTGAGCATTAGAAAGCTTCTCCTAAGAGCCAACCGACAGCGCCCTTGCTGCAGATTATGTCCCCCACGTGTCCGGCCTTCTGTGGCCGCGGAGAACACTTGATCTCTGTCCCCTTTAGAACAGCCCTTGCCACAGCCGAGGGCTGGGATCCGCTCCGCCCTCAGCCTGCTTTTCCTCCAGCTTAAACAATACTAGCCTGTTTCACAACGACCTCGCCCCGCTGACTGGTGCTTGAGGGGCGATCCAGGCGGTGAGTCTCCTCGTGCACTGGGGTTTTCCTTCCTAAGCCTAGTGCTGGCGAGAAACCAGTGTGGGCTGCTGGAGGAGACTGAGCTGCTACCTCCTTGGGGTCAGTAGTAATTACAGCACTTTTCACCAGTAGACCAGTGTCCTTGCCCCCATTTTGCACATGGGGAAACCGAGGCACAGGGCAGTAGAGTGACTTGCCCAAAGTCACCCAGCAGGCGAGTAGCAGAGCCAGGACTAGAACTCGGGTCTCCAGCGTCCCACCCTAGTGCGCCGTACACAAGCCCACGCAGCGCCTCGGGCGCCTTTTTGCTAGAGTGGTGACATTTTCCAGGAAAACTTGTCTTCAGCAGCTTTCCTGGAATCCACAGAACTCAGCAGCTTAATCAAGATGGCCTTCTACTACAGCTAGAGCAGAACTGCACTCCCTCAGCCCGGAGAGCCATGCGGGTGGGCTCCCTCACAGCCAGCAGCAAACAGATGTACTGCTACACCCCAGAGGTGGCTGCATTTCTGTAGTGTGGGGTGGTGGTGAGGGGAAAGCAGTCTGGAAAGCAGCCGGAGAGTCTCCAGGGTAATGAAAAACACTATAGATATATGAGGCAGACAGTATAATTATCCCACCCCAGTCCATGCGTCTGGAGAAAATGTTCTGTCTCCTATTAAAATCACTGGGTGGTTGAGGAAATTCACCAGATGGGAAATAACCTCGGTAAGCCGTAGCTCCATGTATTTCATGGCGTTCAGCCCACGCAGAAAGGGCCAGCTTCATCGCTGAAGTTAGCAGCGTCCATCAGTGCAAAGCTGCAGGGACAGAGGGCTGAGCGGGGCTCTCTGTGTGCTCTTGCGCCCAGGTGTGATGGCGTCCCTTTCCCAGGCGGGCGGGAGCGCTCTGCTCTGGTAAAAGCACCCGGCTCGTTAGCAGAATCCTCCCGGGGGGCAGATTTCTGCTGGCAAGTGAATACATTTCACAATGGAATAGTCAGCAAAACCGCTCTTCCTTTTCGTTCTCCTGCCCAGGCAAGAGGGAGCCGGGGCTAGTGGTTAGAGCAGGGGACTGCGCGTCAGGACTCCTGGTTTCTAATCCTGGCTCTGTCACCAACGCGCTGTGTGACCCAAGTCCTTTCCCCGCCCTGGGCCTCAGTTTCCCACCTGTACTAATGGCGCTGGCCTGTCTCCCGGGGGTGTGGGATGACTCGTTCGTGTTTGTGAGATGCTAAGTATTGGTAACTTAAGATCAGGATCCGACATTTCCACGATGACGGCACAGGCAGAGACACCTAAAGCAGTTCCACAGCGGCTGCCGGAGAAACCCGGGACTTAGGGGTCGGGCCCTGAAAGGTCGGAGCCTGACGCAGCAGGGGGGTGGGCAGAAGACACTGGAGCTGCACCAAACACTGCAGAAACCAGCTGCTGGGCTGCAAAATGTGCTGCTCTGTGTTCTTTCCATCTGCCGGCCCCCCACATCGCCGGCTCCACCGCCCCGGCTGCGACGCAGGCCGGGAATCACTGGGGGACCCGAGAGCGCGATCGACAAGCTCCTTTGTGCAGCGTCCCAGTGTGGTGATCGCAGCTGCTCAGGGCGGGAGTGCCCCAAAGCCCCGGGCCAGGAGCCTGCCGGCTGCACCGCGACTCGGAGACAAGCACTGAAAAGCACTTCACTGCTAGGCCCTGCAGGCACGAGGCTGGCGGTCCCGTCACCACTCAGACGTGTGCTACGGGAAGGCTGTTTTACGGGGGCTGGCAGGAAAGGGGAAGGTAGCCGATACCCTAGGTACCGAGGCTTGAAGAGCAATAGTGGTTCTTGGGTCTGGGGGGAAGCCCACGCGAGGGTCATGGACGGCTCTTCCGTGCCTGGGCTGCCCTCTCCAGTCCGGGCTCTATTCCAGCAAATAGACACTTGCAGGATCACTCAGCGGTGTGTCTCATCAGGATCCCTCTGCCCTAGCTCCCTGCCCAGCTGCTGCCCCCCCCCCACGCCCCACACAGACCTGCACCCAGCTGTGATGTCCGGCCCCACAGCCTTCCACCCGGGGCTCTGCATCCAGTTCCTGGGGGTTCCTCCGCGTCCGGCTTCCCCGCTGCTCCTGGCTCGCCAAGCGGCTGCTGCTTCCCCTAGGTGCCCAGTCAGATCCCGGTTCAGGGTCTTTTCACAGGGCTTCTGTGCCCCCTTACCTGGCCAGGAGGAAGGGGATGTGCAGTGGGGAGGGGGCTGATGGGAATTGTAGACCCCTGCTTAGCAGATCCATCATGCCAGGCTCTGGCAAGGGGACCTTGTGTCCCCAATGGTCCCTACACAGGCAGAGCCCCGATGGAGCGCTGCAGGCTGGGATCCGTAGGGCCCGTGGTCAGCACACATGGGCTGGGCTGGAGACCGAGCCCCTGCCCGCGTGGCCCCCACGCTAACCCCCCTCCGCTCTCCCCAGCAGGCCTGTCGACTGGCCGACCTTCCTGAAGGAGAACGTCATCTACATCCTCGCCGCCCGCCCCAACAGCGCCGCCATCCACCTGAAGCCGCTGGCGTAGCCGCCGCCCAGGACAGGGGCCGGGCGAGGGCTCCCAACCTGGACGATGCATGAGCGGGCGGGAGGCCGGGCGCACGGAGCCCAGTCCTAGCCATTGTGTTCTGTAGTCGCTGAGCTTGCAGCTGGAGGAGCTGACAGACTGCTTCACCCGCTAGAGGGGCTGCCCCGTCTCCATGGGCCGCAAGTAGCCGCACCCAGCTCCCCCGCCCTCACCCACGTCCCAGCAGACTTCTGATTGGCGGAGCGAGGCCCCAAACCCCGCACCACGCCCGGCCACACCCCCAGCTCAGTAGAGTTCTGGTTTCTGATTGGCTGAGAGGGAGCTGCCCCCCCCAACCCGCACACAATTCGGCAGACTTCTGATTAGCGGAGAGAGGACTGAACGCAAACAGTCCAGCAGCGCTCTGGCTTCTGATTGGCTGAGAAAGCCCATGCGAGCCCCACGTAGCGGCTGGACGGTTTCCAGCGTCGAGGTCGCCCTGTACCGTGGCTGCGGGTCGGCGGACCGGGCGTGACCCTGGTGGCTGTGGACTAACAAGCCCCGTGCTGGCCTGGCAATGGCACTGGCGTGCCTGCTGGAGAGCAGAGGGAGGCGTGTTGGGTGGGCTGGGGCCAGCACTGCGGGGCTGCCCTGCAGCTGGCAAGCTGGGCCAGGCACCGTGCCAGCCTCTCCCCTGCTCTCTGGGACCACCCCCGCCCCCAGACTGGTCCCCTCTCTGCTCTGCACGGTGGCTCTCGACGCCCATATTCCAGCCTCTCTGGGTGAACAGATCTCTGGCTGGGAGAGCTGGGCACGGAGCAAGAGCCGAATGCCGTGAGACCCCAGCGAGGACGTGGCATACCAGGCCTGGGTCACCTCTCACCACCACCAAAAGGACAGCAGTGTGACCGCCACCACGGAGCAGGCCCTGGTCTCTGTGCGAGCGACAGTCCTGCCTTGGCCGGGAGGGCTGGGGGGGGACATGGTGGATTCGGGGCCACCAAGCAGAACAGCTCAGTGTCCCCAGAAGCTGGCATGTGGGGAGCTGCTTTTCTCAGGCTGGCGAACCCCCGGCCCACCGCTGCGGCTGCAGAAACGAGCCACAGAGAACTCCCTTTGAGCAGCTCCACCTCCCGGCCTCCTCCCGGCTCAGGCGCCAGACGCTGCTCTGCCAGCCAGGGGGCCCGTCAGGACAATCCTGAGAGTTGGGTGGTGTGTCGGCTGCTTGTCACGGGGCCGGATTCCCCTCGCGCTCCCACCAGTGTCAGCTCCAGGGAAGTGAGCCTGGTTCACTGCGGTGAGGTTGTGGGGGGGAGATCAGGCCCCCTGTGTTTCTGGAGCGAGGGCGTGGTAGGAGCCGTAGAAGCATTGCCGCTAACGTAACCTGGGCCTCGCGCCAGGATGTCTTTCTAGAAGACACTTGCTAGCTCACCCCCCAGTGCCGGGCTGGATGCAGGCGTCACGGGGCGGGGTTAGGAAGGAGGGTCACCGTGGTCTCTTCTGGCCTTGCCATGTGTGAAGAAGGGATGCGAGTTTCTTGTGATTTCTTAGTCCTCTCAAAGTTGTCAGACGCCAGCCACCTGCCTTTACTACACAGCATCGCATGTCTGCAAATTCTGCGACCTCCGTCAGACTTTATGGAATCCGTAACCACCTGTGACTTCACAGCCATAAGCCAGGATAGAAGTCATGCCCTCCGGCTCCAAAAGCACCGGCCACTGCCCTGAGCCAAAGAAGAATCTTCTTTCATTGTTAGCAGTACAGGAGCTATGACACACAGGGAGCAGTTCCAGTTCCACCCACCTGGGGGCAATGGTGACACATGTGCACTAGCTCTGCACACCTTTCACAGGCACAGTGCTAGCAGCCCCCCCACTGGCACTCGGTACCTGCTAGCTATTCACAATAGTGCTTCCTGTTCCCTACAAAGAGAAGCCAGTATTGCACCATGATGCAAGATCAGCAACTCATCGGAGACACTATCAGGAGGGGCCAGATTTCCACCCCACCCAGCTTCACCACCACAGAACCAGCTACCTTCCCCTTGAACGCGAAGGTGCAGCCGGCAGAGAATGCAGTGCCTTGTCCCAGAGACAAAGCAGTGCACACTGGGGTCTGTAGTCTCCGCACCTACGTATTCATTAGGAAGATGGCCATGGATTCCTCTGGCTACTTGCCCCACAGTCCCCTGCCCCCGGAGCCTGTAACAGGGCCTGGATCATCGGGGAGCTAGGAACCAGCCTGCGTTCATGACGTCTAGAGCCGGTACAGAAGCAGAGATGCCTGAGAGCGGAGATCCGTGGTGAGCAACAAGAGGTCACTGAATCCCCTTAGCCTCCAGCTCCAGCAAGGACAGGGGCTCAGAATCAGCGGGCTTGGGCCTCTCCGGTAGCAGTGCTGGGCAGAACTGAGGTTTGCTCTCGTCCTGTTTCTTACGGGAGGGAATGCAGAAGGCGTGAGGCTCCGTGAGCTGCACCAACAACATCAGAGCGCGCTCCCCCGCTTTGGCGGGCTCTGCCTCTCGTTAATAAGTACTTGGCCGTCCCCAGAGCCAGCCCGCATATGAGCTGAGCGGCTGCAGCAAATGCTGGCTCAGCTAATGGGAGAGGGAAATCGGTCACAGTTCAACCTAGCGGAGATAAAACGGTTACATCAGGCATGGCCTGCTTCAAAGCCGTGCCCAGCTACCGCCAGAAACCAAGTCCTTCCCGACAGCTCTGCCTGGAGCACCGCCGGACTCAGGAGGGAATTGCCACCCATGGGGCATTGGCACGTCTCGGGGGGTTACATCGGAAGCTCCCGATAGCCGCCCTTGCCAGAGGCAGGATCCAACTCTCTGGTCCAGTGTGGCAAATGCTTTCGCTTTCGCTTTGCTAGATCTGCCAATGGGCCTGGCTTGGGCAGGCTGAGAGGAGAGGACACGGTGCCAGAGACTGCGCTGGAGGAATCCGTCCCGTTGTGATGGGAGGGTCTAGATGCAACCCACCCCGGCGTCAGCGAGTCCATGGTCACTGGATGGCCAGTGGGGTCGCTCTGTCTCCTGGATGACTGCTCACTCCAGATCCTGCAGCTCTCCAGTCCTGGGGGTTCACTGGCCAATTCGCCTTGTATCAAGTATATTCGGAGCACAGCAGCTCTTGGTTTCTCAGGGACCTGCCCAGAACATTGTCCTGTTTTTAGAAGGAAGCCTGCCCTGCTGCCTGCAATGCCCCCTCCTGCTCCATCCCAGTTGTCGTCTGGACTATAACCTTCCTCGTCACCGTCTCAGCAGCCCTGCCTCATGTCCACCGGGACGGTGAAGGTAGCCTGGGGCCACACATGATGTGCGTGGGGTGGGCCCGGCGTGGGGAGAGGATGAAGGATTGCTGCTGCTGAACATAAAAAGATTCAAGTGCACAGGAGTGACCCAAACGGGAGCCCAACCATGCTGTCTATCTAAGGGGTTCCTCTGGCACCTCTCGCCCTGGGATGTGGACACAGCGTGGAGCAACACACCCAAACTTTGCCACCGCATGACTCCGTTCACACCTTGCAAACAGCTGCCAAGCTGCACCGACCGTGCCTAACCCGGAGCAGATTGTACCCACCCTCGCGTTCCAGGAGGAGATGACAGGCCACAGCCCGCGATGCCCCCCAGATCAAGATGGAGCACAACATCCTGGGACCCACGGTCAGAAAGGAGTGGAGCCGTGGGCAGCATGGCAACGCACCCTCAGTCACATTCGGCCCGTGGGCGTCCCAGGGCATGGACCGTGATGCCGAGCCAAGGCCGCTCGCCCACAGGTCCTGCTTGTGAAAGCCTCCCCTCCCTGGGGCAGCTCGTTGAACGATGGCAGAGAGGGAAGGAACATGGAGCTGCCCCAACAGACACCACCAGGGACATGGTGAGAAGCCGCAGTGACACCACCCACCAGGGCCACCGCACGAGCTGCACGTCCGAGCCAGCCCACGTCAGCTCCCCAGCGGTACCTTTCCTCCCCGGGGGAGTTTGGAGCAGCGCGCGCAGCGGGTCCGGAGCGCTCAGGCAGCACTAGCAGCCAGTGTGCCAGGGACGAGCGTGCTCCCGAGCTGGCGCATCGCCGAGGGCACTTCAGTGTTGAAATGAGGGCGGCAGGAGGGCGCACGTACAAGACAGGGATAATACATGGGGGGGCTCCCTCCCAGAGGCCCACTGCTGAGTTAATGGGACGGAGGAGACATGGGCAAAGGAAAGCTCAGGGACCCGGGGGCAGGTAGCTTCCTGGATCTTTCTGCTTCAGCCCAGGAGGTAACCGAATGGGGAGCTAGACACAGTCTCCATTGAAATGAGGGCAGTCCTGCCTCTGTACCCTCTGGCTGCTCTGAAGCCCTCAGCCTGCTTGTCTCTGGCTGGTGACCCAGGGTGATGCTCAAACTCTGGGCCCCAAAGGCTGCTCTTCGTTTGCAGAAAATGGGGCTGCATGCAGCCTCCTCCATGAGCTTTAACAGAGGCATAAACTGCAGAGACTACACGTCCCAACATGCATTGCAGCCTGTGCACTGCTGGGATGTGTAGTCTCCGTGGGCCACGCTGTCTTGTGAATGGAGCTGTGGTGGTGAGCCCCGCGGGCTGGTTGGGGCACTTGGCTCGCTGGCTGTGTAACAAGCGCATGGGTTTCACCCAGCCAGGCAGGGCAGCGTGGAGGCCAGGGTCATGGAGCCAATGGGTTACCCAAATTCCCACACGCCATGAGGAGGTTGGGGGGCAATGTACAGATAAAGGGGCCCGTTCCCCTGCGCGGAGCCCCACCCTTCTGCCTGGGCTGCATTTTACCCCCGCTTTGCGCAGGTGCCAAGGACTGCACCAGGAGTGGGGGCATCAGCCCTCCAGGTTTGACCCTGCCCGCGGCGCTGCTGAGACAGCACCATCGCCTGCTGTCGGCGGGACCGGGGGAATGGCTGGGGCCGGCCCGCGGGGCGTGAGAAGGGCTGTGCAGCGAGATGTGTCCATTAAACAGCTGTGTCCAACCTCAATAGATCTGTTGGTCTTTGGATTTCGGTATCGCTCAGGCACCAGCAGCTCTGGGGGGTTCCTAAGGTGCCCCCCCCCCCCGGTCCAGCCCCTGCTGGTTAGCCCCAGAGGGGCTGCTGCAGTGACCAGGTGTCCAGGGTCCCTGTCTGGTGCATCATGGGCCTGCAGCACCTGGTGAGTCCAGAGCCCAGTGTGACAATGCGGTTCTGGTGGAACCCAACTGAGAGTGCCAACTCAGGACAAATTGCTCAAACAGGGCAGTTACAGCCCAAGGCTGGGGTTTTTTCCACCTCTAAGGCAAACCAAACCAGCCAGACTAGGACTTCGGTCTCACCCCCTGGCTAACCGCAAGTCTCATAAGCAATCTCCTTAGACACCCCAGTTTCCCAGTATTACCACCAGTGCCGCACGTTATGGGAACAAAGGGTTATGAAAATCAATACCCCAGTATGTTTCTATCCCTCATAGGTGTGGAGAGAAGCTTAACAATGTAACATG